TGGTGGACCCCATACCCATCCCAGAGGCGGTGGTGGACCCCATACCCATCCCAGAGGTAGTGGTGGACCCCATACCCATCCCAGAGCCGGTGGTGGAGAGAAGTTCTCTAACATTAAAGTGTTCACGTAGTGGAATGCTTTATATAAAGGAATATGCTAGCACCTCATATTAAACAGAATTCAAAGTCAAATAACGGTCCTTAGAGATTGTAAATGACATGGAAAATGAATTATCGGATTATCACAGCAAGTTGACTCCTAGATGTTGATGTTTGCAAAAGTTGAGTGATTTGGCACATGATTGGTCCCGGATGTGAGAGGGTTGGGATACGAGGAATGAACTTGAGAGAACTTGACATTCCAGCACTGAAGAAGAGACAGAGAATATAGAAAATAAGTTGAATTAACATTCTTGTAAAGCCACTAGCACGCATAGCGTTTCGGACAAGTCCTTAAACTAACAGAATTTTTTTTATATAAATTAATAGTAAAGTAGATAAAAAAAAATGTTAGCAGGTATTTTACAGGTTTTATTTACAGGTAAAGATAATTTTAAGTGGAATAATTACAGTAAAATCGAAAAAAAATGTTTTCAGGTACAGTAATCTGAATAAATTTTAATACAAAAGCAGATCAGAATAATACACAATACTAACAATACATAATAAAGAAACAAGAATTACTAGGTACATGAGGATAGCATTTCAGGGTTATACATTGGTTCACTGAAGCACAAAATGAGGATCATTTCGAGGAAAAGTTTCAAGGAATAATGCAGTAGAATATGCACTCAATACAACAACCATGATATCAGATGATATCTATGATTACAATGGTAAAGTAATATGGCTTAGGTATAAATATTGGGGAGATCGAGTAGCACTAGATACAGTGGTAAAAAGCTATGAAGATGAAATTAGGTACTTTTTGGTTATATTTTTTGAATAAGGCAATAACGTTGGACAGCTTTTCAAATCATTAGGGAATGAGTTCCATAGACTAGGTCCCTATATTTGCATACAGTGTTTACATAGATTAAGTTTGACTCTGGAGATATCAAAGTGATATTTATGTCTGGTGTGGTGAGTGTGTGTTCTATTACATCTGTCCAGGGAGAGTTTCAGAACAGGGTTTGCACTTAGAAAAAGGGTTTTATAAACGTAATTTACACAAGAGAATATATGGAGTGAATTTATGTTTAGCATGTTTAGGGATTTGAACAAGGGAGCTGTGTGTTGTCTGAAGGCAGAGTTAGTTATTGTCCTGATAGCAGATTTTAAAAGCAGATGTGATAAGAAATAAGAGGATTGAGAGTCATTGCATTACGTTATAGATAACAGGAATGGCAGGTTCCAGAAGCTGAAGCTTAACCCTGTAAGCACAACTAGGTGAATTCTTCTCGATGGAAACACACACACAATCTAGTTTTTTTGGGGGGACTGCATTTTTTGGACTGTCGGAAGGCCTTCGACACAGTACTCCATAAAAGGTTGATGCATAAGCTGGAGAAACAGGCAGGAGTAACTGGTAGGGCGGTCCAGTGGATAAGGGAGTACCTAAGCAATAGAAAGCAGAGAGTTACAGTGAGGGGTGAGACCTCAGATTGGCGTGAAGTCACCAGTGGAGTCCCACAGGGCTCTGTACTCGGTCCTATCCTGTTTCTGATATACGTAAATGATCTCTCAGAGGGTATAGACTCATTCCTCTCAATGTTTGCTGACGACGCCAAAATTATGCGAAGGATTAAGACAGAGGAGGACAGCTTGAGGCTTCAAGAAGGCCTCGACAAGTTTTTGGAATGGTCGAACAAATGGTTGTTAGAGTTTAACCCAAGCAAATGCAATGTAATGAAGATAGGTGTAGGAAGCAGGAGACCAGATACAAGGTATCATTTGGGAGATGAAATACTAAAAGAGTCAGAGAGAGAGAAAGACCTGGGGGTTGATATCACGCCAGACCTGTCCCCTGAAGCCCATAGCAAGAGGATAACATCAGCAGCATATGCCAGGTTGGGTAACATAAGAACGGCCTTTAGAAACCTGTGTAAGGAATCTTTCAGAACTTTATATACCACATATGTCAGACCAATCCTGGAGTATGCGGCTCCAGCATGGAGTCCATATCTAGTCAAGCATAAGACTAAACTGGAAAAGGTTCAAAGGTTTGCCACCAGACTAGTACCCGAACTGAGGGGTATGAGCTACGAGGAGAGACTACGGGAGTTAAACCTCACATCACTGGGAGACAGAAGAGTTAGAGGGGACATGATCACCACATACAAGATTCTCAAAGGAATCGATAGGGTAGATAAAGACAGGCTATTTAGCACTAGGGGACACAGGTGGAAATTGAGTGCCCAAATGAGCCATAGTGACGTTATAAAGAACTTTTTCAGTGTCAGAGTGGTAGACAAATGGAATGCATTAGTCAGTGATGTGGTGGAGGCTGACTCCATACACATCTTCAAGTGTAGATTTGATAGAGCCCAGTAGGCTCAGGAACTTGTACATTAGTTGACTGACAGCTGAGAGGCAGGACCAAAGAGCCAGAGTTCAACCTCCCACAAGCACAAATAGGTGAGTACAAATAGGTGAGTACACACACACACATTAACTTCACCTTGCAGGCAGCTCTACAAGCACCCTGAATCTCAGACCTCATGAACAAAAGCTTTAAAACTCCAGCGACAAGTTGCTGTTGTTTGTTGTTAAAGATTCGCTACCTGGAACAAAGTTCCAAGTAGCACGGGCTATGGTGAGCCCGCAGGATGTATTGACAAGTTGCTAATATGGTTCCAGAGATTAATATCTTGAGCCACGAGGCTACACTGTATAACCTAAACCTTCCAGCAATGAAGAAACAACGGCACACGTGAGTCATGATCACGATATAAAAAATACGTAACGGTCTCCAAAAAAAAGATGGATAAATAAAGGTTGAGACAGATTAAAAAAATAATAATAACTTCACTGTAGACCGTACGAGGGAAGACGCAGACGAACTCTATACAAAGAGTCAGATGTGTATATATATATGACATGACAAGTGAATACACTATTTTTCAAACCGTAGAAGGTCACCCAGGCGTAGACGTGCTTGTTGTCGTTGATGCGGCTCCTACAAGGTCACGAGCCGAGATCTAATTGGGCAGTTAGTGACCTCGCGCTCATTTGCTCCACTATAGCTCCGTTGAGCAAGAAGGGCTGGGGGGGGGGGGAGGGTACTAGAGAGACAACACAACTGCATGAAGGAGAGAGAGAGAGAGATAGTGGCGACTCAAGGAGGTCACTACAATTTTTGAAGGAGGGGGGGAGGGAGGGGAGGAGGGGCAAGGAAATCACCAAATGAACCACTATTAAACAGTCATTACTGAACCACGGTTACCACTCAGCCGAAAGACATACGCACACACACATGCTAACTCTTTCTCATATATCACTACCGTCAACCCAATACCAACCATTACAACCATCACCTCAATATCTACCACCACCACCACCACCACCACCACCACCACCACGACACACCTTCTCTGTTTCACCGAAAAATACCTGTGATCTTAAAGAAAATCTCCTTGATGTATCGGATATCTTCGATATCGTTCGCCTTATGCGTTTTTTGTTCTCGTGTTGGCATCCTTAGTGATGATATTTAGCGCCTTTGGAATATCGCGCACATTTGATGGTGCTACACAGCCTCCCCGGCTTGGTGCCTTCTTTTGGAAACTTCAGAAGAAACTGCATTAGTTCCTCCGATTCTCCTTAGGGGAAGGTAGTGGGCGCACGGCGCACCTCTACTACCTAGGTGTAGGGTCATACTCCCGCCTTCCTAACAGTCTTAGGCTCCTACAGTAAATCCCTTCCCTATATATATATATTCCACTTTTTGCAACCTGCCAAAAATGATTGTATCTTGAGGTTATCTTGAGATGGTTTCGGGGCTTTAGTGTCCCCGCGGCCCGGTCCTCGACCAGGCCTCCACCCCCAGGCAGCAGCCCGTGACAGCTGACTAACACCCAGGTACCTATTTTACTGCTAGGTAACAGGGACATAGGGTGAAAGAAACTCTGCCCATTGTTTCTCGCCGGCGCCTGAGATCGAACCCAGGACCACAGGATCACAAGTCCAGCGTGCTGTCCACTCGGCCGACCGGCTCCCTTGTACCTGAAGCTACCACCGCATCTTTGTTATTTATTTGTGTCTTCAGTTCCCTCCGTAACTTCTCATTCTGCTGCTCCTTGCTGTTAACAATAATTAACAATGATGATTTAACAATGTCAATTTCCCTTAGAATATAATGTTATCATGTATCCCCTATTCCTCCTTTCCTTCAGTGTGGCGAGGTCAAGTTTCTTCAGTCTTTCCTCATAGCTCAAATCCTTCAGTTCAGGAACGAACCTTGTTGTAAATCTCTGGACCATTTCTAGATTTCTTTCAGATGGCTAAATGTCGAGGCTGCATATCCACGAGTGAGTCTCACATAGGTTACATAGTGAACCCACAGGCTACATTTGGTTTGGGGTTAGATTAGTGGTTAAGTTTACCTGACCTGACCTACTTGGGGCCCTGACAGCTGAGTGGACAGCGCTCGGGATTCCTAATCCTGAGGTTCGATCCCGGGTAGAGGTGGAAACAAATGGGCAGAGTTTCTTTCACCCTGATGCCCATGTTCACCTAGCAGTAAAAAAATAGGTACCTGGGAGTTAGACAGCTGTTACGGACTGCTTTCTGGGGGGTATCGAGGACCGGGCCGCGGGGACGCTAAGCCCCGAAATCATCTCAAGATATACCTTCAGACCTCTCTGTAGCGTTCCTTTGTGCCTCCGCTTAATTACGGTTCCCTCTCCTTCATCTCCTTCGTATATCTTGCCTTCCTCATTGTGGTCTCTACCCTTCGGGATCTCCTTGAAGAGGGGGCTTAGACCCAGATAAGATTGCAGTGTATCCCGATGAAAGACGGCCGTGTGACAGCGGGACGATTACCTGGAGATAAGAGCGTGTATATTATCAGCGAGGGACTGGTGGTGGCATGTGGGACGACGCCCCGCCGACGTCTCCAGGGTAGTCCGCCACAGCTACTGGTCCCCGCACCACCGCCCATACTTCGCCTCTGGAACACACACTCGCTTCTGAGGTAGGTGTGAAGGCTGTGTCCGTCCTCGCTGAGCTCCTTCTGTACACACACACACGCGCGTGCGCGAGCGGAGGAATCAAGGCAACTATCTGGAGAAAGTGCTAAGCCGATTTGACCGCTCCCTGTATGTTTATATCTCTCTCTCTCTCTGCTATAGTATTTCTCTCTCTTTCTACTTGTTTATTGGCTGTAGGAAGTGATATGAGGACAACGGTTGAGGGCCACAGGGCTAACGACACTACAAACCAGGCATGGTAAGCCGGATCTCATTGAAACTTGTAAAATACTGAACAATTTGGACGATATTGATCCGGACAATTTCTTCCAAATGTCAGATGTAACACAAACAAGGAGCAACGGTTTCAAGCTCAACAAGCCACAATGTAGGACTGAAAACAAGATGCTTCTTCATCCACAGGGTTATAAATCCACGGAACCGCCTACCCGCTGATGCCTTAAATGCCAAAACTCTGTTAAATTTTAAAATCCAACTAGAAAAGATCATCAAGGGGAAATGGGAGGACCTTCGACAAGCCGCCGCCTTCCTGCCCTCGGCGAGGTCACTAGTGTTAGTGGCCCTGAGGTAAATTCAGACTAAGAAGTAATATATGAGGACGGATTTTTTGAATAAAGAGCAGTGCCCCAGTCATATATCTTCTATATAACGCAAGTAATATATGGAGGAAGCAAGGCTGCTGTTGTACGTTAACATGTGGTAATAACTAATGACAACATACAGTTAACCAAGCCTAAAGTATACATATATATACATATATATATACATAGGTTTTCTGTCCCCCCAAGAACGGTAATTGATTATTATTATGCAGTTAACCTATGACTGTGATGACAGTAAGCACAAGTATTACAAAAGTTGACATTACAGACCACTATACATAATGAAGCCCAGTAACGGAGCCCAGTAACGGAGCCCAGTAACGGGTAAGCAGACATATGTGACGTTAGGGACAAAAAAGTAACAGAAAACGTAAGCTATTCAAAGTTAGCGAGTTTGTTAAGGGTGAACTATGTTATTTAAACAGTTCTTCAGCTGTTTAAAAAAAAAAACTATTATTCTGTTTAAATAGTTGAAAATCAACGATGGGTTAACGGGCGAGAGTGACAGCTTATGTAATTTATGACTATACTTAATGGCCAATTCAAATTACAAAGAGATGATATTGTTGGGGAAACTTCTGGAAGCAAAGACATAAGATTAAATACAGAACAAGAGCTTCCAAAGGGCGAAAATGGAATTGGGTATAGGAGAAGTAGGCTTAGAGGACGAGTCTTAAGGAGGAGGAGAAGTGACCGGGCTTAAGAAACATCAGCAATCCTGTCGCATCAAAAAATCAAAATCAAAATGTTTATTCAGGTAAAAGTAGGTACATAGAAGATAAGTTATAAACATAATGTTGGATTTATAGATATAGTTAGTACATACAATACCTAAAGCCACTAATACGCACAGCGTTTCGGGCAAGGTGCGGGGAGGAAAAACCACTTATACTAAAACTTAATACTAATTGAGATTAAAGTATAAATTGTGTTGAAAAAGGAATAAAAAAAAGTGTGTGGGGGGGGTGGGACATGGCAGAGATCAGCAGTTATACAACTTTGTCAACAAACAGTATATTTTTAAAATAGCATGACAACTTTGTCAACAAACAGTATATTTTTAAAATAGCATGACAACTTTGTCAACAAACAGTATATTTTTAAAATAGCATGACAACTTTGTCAACAAACAGTATATTTTTAAAATAGCATGACAACTTTGTCAACAAACAGTATATTTTTAAAATAGCATGACAACTTTGTCAACAAACAGTATATTTTTAAAATAGCATGACAACTTTGTCAACAAACAGTATATTTTTAAAATAGCATGACAACTTTGTCAACAAACAGTATATTTTTTAAATAGCATGACAACTTTGTCAACAAACAGTATATTTTTAAAATAGCATGACAACTTTGTCAACAAACAGTATATTTTTAAAATAGCATGACAACTTTGTCAACAAACAGTATATTTTTAAAATAGCATGACAACTTTGTCAACAAACAGTATATTTTTAAAATAGCATGACAACTTTGTCAACAAACAGTATATTTTTAAAATAGCATGACAACTTTGTCAACAAACAGTATATTTTTAAAATAGCATGACAACTTTGTCAACAAACAGTATATTTTTAAAATAGCATGACAACTTTGTCAACAAACAGTATATTTTTAAAATAGCATGACAACTTTGTCAACAAACAGTATATTTTTAAAATAGCATGACAACTTTGTCAACAAACAGTATATTTTTAAAATAGCATGACAACTTTGTCAACAAACAGTATATTTTTAAAATAGCATGACAACTTTGTCAACAAACAGTATATTTTTAAAATAGCATGACAACTTTGTCAACAAACAGTATATTTTTAAAATAGCATGACAACTTTGTCAACAAACAGTATATTTTTAAAATAGCATGACAACTTTGTCAACAAACAGTATATTTTTAAAATAGCATGACAACTTTGTCAACAAACAGTATATTTTTAAAATAGCATGACAACTTTGTCAACAAACAGTATATTTTTAAAATAGCATGACAACTTTGTCAACAAACAGTATATTTTTAAAATAGCATGACAACTTTGTCAACAAACAGTATATTTTTAAAATAGCATGACAACTTTGTCAACAAACAGTATATTTTTAAAATAGCATGACAACTTTGTCAACAAACAGTATATTTTTAAAATAGCATGACAACTTTGTCAACAAACAGTATATTTTTAAAATAGCATGACAACTTTGTCAACAAACAGTATATTTTTAAAATAGCATGACAACTTTGTCAACAAACAGTATATTTTTAAAATAGCATGACAACTTTGTCAACAAACAGTATATTTTTAAAATAGCATGACAACTTTGTCAACAAACAGTATATTTTTAAAATAGCATGACAACTTTGTCAACAAACAGTATATTTTTAAAATAGCATGACAACTTTGTCAACAAACAGTATATTTTTAAAATAGCATGACAACTTTGTCAACAAACAGTATATTTTTAAAATAGCATGACAACTTTGTCAACAAACAGTATATTTTTAAAATAGCATGACAACTTTGTCAACAAACAGTATATTTTTAAAATAGCATGACAACTTTGTCAACAAACAGTATATTTTTAAAATAGCATGACAACTTTGTCAACAAACAGTATATTTTTAAAATAGCATGACAACTTTGTCAACAAACAGTATATTTTTAAAATAGCATGACAACTTTGTCAACAAACAGTATATTTTTAAAATAGCATGACAACTTTGTCAACAAACAGTATATTTTTAAAATAGCATGACAACTTTGTCAACAAACAGTATATTTTTAAAATAGCATGACAACTTTGTCAACAAACAGTATATTTTTAAAATAGCATGACAACTTTGTCAACAAACAGTATATTTTTAAAATAGCATGACAACTTTGTCAACAAACAGTATATTTTTAAAATAGCATGACAACTTTGTCAACAAACAGTATATTTTTAAAATAGCATGACAACTTTGTCAACAAACAGTATATTTTTAAAATAGCATGACAACTTTGTCAACAAACAGTATATTTTTAAAATAGCATGACAACTTTGTCAACAAACAGTATATTTTTAAAATAGCATGACAACTTTGTCAACAAACAGTATATTTTTAAAATAGCATGACAACTTTGTCAACAAACAGTATATTTTTAAAATAGCATGACAACTTTGTCAACAAACAGTATATTTTTAAAATAGCATGACAACTTTGTCAACAAACAGTATATTTTTAAAATAGCATGACAACTTTGTCAACAAACAGTATATTTTTAAAATAGCATGACAACTTTGTCAACAAACAGTATATTTTTAAAATAGCATGACAACTTTGTCAACAAACAGTATATTTTTAAAATAGCATGACAACTTTGTCAACAAACAGTATATTTTTAAAATAGCATGACAACTTTGTCAACAAACAGTATATTTTTAAAATAGCATGACAACTTTGTCAACAAACAGTATATTTTTAAAATAGCATGACAACTTTGTCAACAAACAGTATATTTTTAAAATAGCATGACAACTTTGTCAACAAACAGTATATTTTTAAAATAGCATGACAACTTTGTCAACAAACAGTATATTTTTAAAATAGCATGACAACTTTGTCAACAAACAGTATATTTTTAAAATAGCATGACAACTTTGTCAACAAACAGTATATTTTTAAAATAGCATGACAACTTTGTCAACAAACAGTATATTTTTAAAATAGCATGACAACTTTGTCAACAAACAGTATATTTTTAAAATAGCATGACAACTTTGTCAACAAACAGTATATTTTTAAAATAGCATGACAACTTTGTCAACAAACAGTATATTTTTAAAATAGCATGACAACTTTGTCAACAAACAGTATATTTTTAAAATAGCATGACAACTTTGTCAACAAACAGTATATTTTTAAAATAGCATGACAACTTTGTCAACAAACAGTATATTTTTAAAATAGCATGACAACTTTGTCAACAAACAGTATTTTTTACAAAATAGCATGACAACTTTGTCAACAAACAGTATATTTTTAAAATAGCATGACAACTTTGTCAACAAACAGTATATTTTTAAAATAGCATGACAACTTTGTCAACAAACAGTATATTTTTAAAATAGCATGACAACTTTGTCAACAAACAGTATATTTTTAAAATAGCATGACAACTTTGTCAACAACAGTATATTTTTAAAATAGCATGACACTTTGTCAACAAACAGTATATTTTTAAAATAGCATGACAACTTTGTCAACAACAAACAAAGTGACAACTTTGTCAACAAACATATATTTTTAAAATAGCATGACAACTTTGTCAACAAACAGTATATTTTTAAAATAGCATGACAACTTTGTCAACAAACAGTATATTTTTAAAATAGCATGACAA